ACTCTAAACAAACATTCTATACTGAACGTAACAAATAGTGGCTGTATTCCCTTGTGTACTGAACGTAACAAACAGTGGCTGTATTCCCTTGTATACGGAACGTAACAAACAGTGGCTGTATTCTCTTGTATACGGAACGTAACAAATAGTGGCTGTTTTCCCTTGTATACTGAACGTAACAAACAGTGGCTGTATTCCCTTGTGTAGAGTCCAATCTTACGTCTTGTGTAGAGTCCAGTTTTTGGATATAATTTACAGCTATGTGAAGTATAAAGTGATTTTCTTTATCACAGCAAACCAGTTTCAAGTAATTTATGAGACTTCCCCCCCCCCCCTCTGTTCATGGAAAAACTGACCGTTAATATGAGACCACACACACTTTGTTGTTGTTCTGATATAGGACATACTCACATCTTTAATTACATTATCATGAACTTTTTTTTTCTCACCTCTTCTTCACATTTTTGAAATTTAAGAAATATTTGTATTGCCATAAACTATAAAGAGGTAATGAATATGAGAAAGTTAAGTATGCTTATAGAAATCAAGTAGTAGCGCCATCTAATTTCTAGCTGTGTAACTATGGAGCATTAGTGATATAAAGGGAAGGTTCATTGGATAAAGATTTCTCAGCGTTTGAGGTAACGTTTAAGGAAACACATTAACATCAAATTTTTAACTTGTAAGGGTTTTTTAAATATGTAAATTTAAAATTTGCAAAGAGAATGTAACTTTTCTTTTCTAAAGGAATTTTATTACAAAGATCCTAAGATTAGGCAGGCTGTGTTGTATATTACAGTTAACATAAAATGGAGAAATATTATCAAAGTAGTTAATCTGTGTTCTATTTGTCTGGCCAAAAAGTAAGGGGATTTGTTTTAATGCAATGCCCCAGTCTTTAAAATGTATGATAATTTTTTGGACCAAATTTGTGTCACTTTAAGTTCCATGTTGTGGCAATTTTTTTCCCTTCAGTTTATAACATTTTATATATGTAACACATATGTGAATATATTTTATTAATTTACAGATTAAGTGAAGAACGTAGCCTTGATATACAGTCTCTTCTTGAGTTTGGAGGTTCTACAAATAGCAGATCTCTTGCTGAAGATTTCCACCAGGAAATGATAGCATGGTATGAAAACCATCAGGGAGTGAAGAAAGCAACATTTGTTTAGGGTAAGCAAGTTCTTAAGTATATTTATGTGGTATAAAGAAAGCAAGGGAATACAGCCACTGTTTGTTACGTTCAGTATACAAGGGAATACAGCCACTGTTTATTACATTCAGTATACAAGGGTAGACAGCCACTGTTTATTGGGTTAAATACAGAAGCATCAATTTTTTTACAAACAAATTTAACCTTCCATGTATGTTACAAGTCCTCACTATAACCTTAGAT